TATATTTTGTGCATAACTAACTAGCTTGTGTTGACTTTTAATTCGATCAAAATCCTCATACATGTTAGATGGTACTCTCAATTCCATAGTATATTATGGTGATGATGGTTTCGTAGTAGTCAGACAATGAATTAAACGTGTGCACAACATGCTTATACAAGGAGAATGTTGCCCTTGTCCCATGTTAATGTCTTTTAGTTTATGGCCGGGCTGCTGATTGAGAAATCACAGTTAATTATAAAAACATTAAATTAGAATGATTTAATTCCCATATTGGAGGATCCGAGACAACTTGTCAACTGGTTGGCTCAGTTTGTCCCTATCATTAAAATAATAATAATTTTTTTACTCAAACTTTTATTAATAAACATCTTGATTGTCTTATGCCAAAATTTGTAATTTACTCTTCCGTATTCTTGTGAATGAGAATGTGCTTTCTAAATCTAGAATATCTCCAGCCTTAATGATTTTGTTACTGTCCTCCTTCAAAATACTTGAAAATGATTTTTTCTTTTGAGTTAATTGACAAGTGTACATTGAAGTTTGTAAGTAATTTCAAAATGATCACTAAAGTAATTTTTTTTATCTCATTTAGAAAAATTAAAGTAAAATCATGCGAATTACTATTAAGTGCCACTATGAACCACGGAAGTTACATTGTGCGCCATTTAAAAATTGTCATGTTTCTATAAGAAAAAAACTTGTTTGTGTCAAAAATGATTTATGTAAAAAACTATTTAATGCCGTATCTAATATATTATTTTTCGATGCACTTCGCCATATTTTCAATTGTCAAATTACATTTTAGAAGCAAACGCAATGTTCATGTTCACCATCTTGTCAATAGCACACCACCACCACCAATAAAACTGAAAATAAACATGTAAAGACACACAGTTTCTTCTAACTAGGCCTAAATACCATAAATTCCCAACGTCAATGTCATCTATAGTATGCTTCCTTTTTCACTGCAAAGAAAATGAACCTTCAACGTCGGATCGAAATTGTCCATTAATCTATGAACCCATTTAAAATTTTCGAAAATGTGAAAAGACCTTCTTATCCCATTTAGAGTCACAAATTCCATATCATTCCATCACATCATTACCAATAGACACAAAAAGTAAGAAAAATAAAAAATAAAAGTAATGTACTTCCTATTTTTTCAACGTGGCGCATCACACATCACAAGCATGTGTCATGCAGTTGGAATGCTCCTCTTTATTCGGCACAACAAGATCGTCATCGGCTAGGCGTGTGACCTATTTTACCAAAGAGTGCACTAAAAATATGAACATATGCATCATCATACCCATAAGCCTACATATGTGTCAATTGTTCATTGTTGTCGGCCTAAGAATGAGGAGAAGTCTGCCTTAAGGTGTGGAAACTTCGGGTGTCAAATTTGCGGTCCGTGAAATTGTTTGGCCTCCATTTTCAAAAAATTATTTTTTCTCGAAATTCATTTTCAATTTTACATTTCTTGAGTCGAGGGCCAGGTCAGGTCTAATAATTATGATAACATGTCCCTCTATTCAAAGAAATAGGTTAGATGAATGTGAAAGAAAGGTGAGATAGTCGTATTAGAATTTGGGAATCACACTCGACTTCAGTTATAGTTTATTAAAAAAAATATTATGACAACTAGCGGAAAATGTTTGGTGGGTTATTTTTACTGACACAAATTTAATTTAATTAACTCAAATATTGAAAATTGGCATGTATGTAAGATAATTACATCTCGAATATTGATAATTGGCAAGCGTATAAGACAAATTGTATTGTATAAATAGTGTCAAGAGAAAAATAGAAGTTATTCTATAGTATAGTATTATATTAAATTCAATATTATGATATTAAATTTCATGGGAATTTGTGAAATTCGAGAAAAACAATTTTTTTTTTTTTTTAATAAAAGAAAAATTACCCGCAGTTTGCGGTGATATTTGTTAATGGAATCAATATGGGAATCAAATAAGAATAAAAATAGGACCAACAATCTCCTTGGTGAGCATTTTTTTCCGGAACCGGATCAAATTCAAATAAAATTAGTCAGTTCGATCCAGTTGCTTTACTAAATGTGTCAATTTTGGGACGCCAGTCGAGAACCGATCGATTTTGATCCGATTCTTGATATTGCTTTAAGAACCAGTAGTGAATTCGGTTCTCTTGAATTTTTCTTTTTACTTGCACCAAGATGCACTAGATCCCAAAATTATCTTACGTTAAAATTTCATTTTTTATACGCTTCTTCTTTCCTTTAATGGGTGATCAAAATTAAAATCTAAATAATTTTATAGATACTTTACAAATTTATAGTTTTAATGCAATCCAGTAGAACAAAAAATATATTTTTAGTTTAATATTTCAAAAAAGAATTCAAATTTATCATTGTTTTCAAAGTGATCGACCATCAAGAATCAATATCTTGAAGACGCCTGGGCGTTGAGTCGCTGTTCCAAACTCTGTGTTTGTTTCAGTATTTTTGTCATAACTTTTTCTTCCGATATCCGATTAAGGCGATTCAAAATACGTTGGAAAGATAATTCAAAGAGTTACAACGTTGCTAGAAATAACTCTTTTTCATTTTGAACGTTTACAGGGCCAAAAATGGGTCTCAATCTCCTGCTGAAAATCTGGAACATCTTTGGATCTTTCCCTTTTTGGCCAATTTTTCGCTTCTTTCTTTCAATTTCACTTCCATTCATTGAGTTTCACCTAATAACACATTATATAATAAATTAGGTAGAATTTAATCCAAAAGACAATAAAATATCGTAATTTAGGACCACAAATAAGTGTATAAACTACACTTATCAACATGTCTTAAAATAACGTCTCTATAATGAAAAAATACGACTATTTGAAAATGTTATATCTAAAAAGATGCAACTTTTCAGCAAAATTAATTCTAGAATATTAGATAATAATTTTTTCAAGAAGTACAAGTGTTTAAGCAACTTTATTTGGCCTTAAAATCTCAATCACCGAGAATGATTTTCACTTGGATAATCAGTCAAAACTAATTTTCTAAACCAACTTCTACCAATTTCTATGAGAGAGAGAGAGAGAGAGAGAGAGAGAGAGAGAGAAGTAAAAGGAGAAAAAGAAAAGGTCGTGTGATGCATTTTGATTTTGTGTAGTAAGAGGTTGCTAAAACAAACTAAACTTGTGTTCTGGTTTTCATCAATAAATCAAAACTCATTTTAATTGTAAGAGATTGTATTGAATACGTGCATAACATGCTTCGATTTTAAACTAAACTACTTACAATGACCTATTTGTGAAATTAATGCACGTTTCATCGTAAAAGAGTGGAATAAATGTGTGCTCGAGAAGTCCTACGCGTGCTTTAAAGGTCCGTTTGACAGAACTTTTAAAAAGTTAAAATTTACTTTTGAGGTTAAGAAATTATATTCGAACATGTTTTGATAAGTTTTTAAAATTATTTTATCAGATTTGAAGAGTTTTTTTTTTTAAATGATATGAAGTAGTTTTATTTCGGCAATAACATTGTCTCATCTCAAAATTTTAACCTTGCTTAAAAAAGAATTTCAAACCTTTATTTGTTGAGCATTATTTTTATCATTGATTTTATATTATATATTTTTTTTAGCAGTAATTGCAGGTCTTCGTTCCTTCCAAATCCTTCTATAATTAAATTTTTTCTTTTTAACTTCAGGTAGAAATTCAAGTCAAAATCTCCGCTCAATTTAATTTCGATGTTGTAATTCGATTTTACTCTTTCACAAATATACGTACGTACGTACACACAGGCATCAATGGTTTAAAACAAATACTAGCTAGTAAGGTAAATAAGACAATTTAGAATTTGGACTGAGTAATTAGCAGTTAATCAGATTCAGTGCGTTCGAAATATTTCAATTAAGAAATGCCAAAATTGAAGTCTCAAAATCACCTACAAGTGGTTGAAGATACAAAGATGCCAACACTTGAAAAAACAAGATGCTCGGCTGGAAAAAACCTGCCCATCATCAAACGCCACGTGGCACGAAGCCAGCGTCTCCCCACAAATTTTTCCTGTGTCCCCAAAGCAAGGGGGGCTATACAATTTAAATTTATTCCTGGTTATTGCACTTTAAATTTATGTCAATTGGATCATCGTATCTTGATTATGTCTCAATTTAAACTACTTCGTTTCAATTTTGTCACATTGTTTAATACGAAGTGACTATTACCTATTGACGACCATTCCACGTGGTCGTAATAAAGTGATGCACTTGAAAAACTTGTTTTATATGTTACACTTGTTAGTTGAAAATAATTCAAATTGGAGTTTTTTCGGTTGTATCACGTAACATAGTTGTTAATTTTGATGACCACGTAACACAATTGTTAATTAATTTTACTCTGCTTTAATTTTTTTCTTAATTTAAATCATTTAGTTCAATTTTGTCAAATTGCGTAATGCTGGACAATAATGTCGTCGTAACAAACTGATAGATGAAGTGATATAATTGAAATTTTTGTTTAATACATTAGACTCATGGATTTAAGTAATCAAAATCAATGTTTTTTTGTCTTCGATATTATTACTTCTAAATTATTTTTAAAGGGCCACGTAAGACGATAATATTACGTCACAACCACGTCAATGTCTAACATATAACAATTTGATCAAATTGAATGATGTGGTCTAAATTGAAAACAAAATTAAAATACAGTGATCCAAATGAAATTAACCCGTTAAGAGAGAAAATAGAGGGGTGGGGTGGGGGAGTAATCAACACAAGCAAGAAGGAGAGGCCAGAATTTATTTACAAATCCTCAATAAGTTGGAACCCAAAAACCCCTTATCCTATCTTCTTTCAAATCAGATTTCCTTCATCACTTTCTATCTTCATTTCTATTCCTCTCTTTTGCATGGCTATTAATTAATCCTTTCAATATAAATTTCTTCACAAAGTTTTTCCTTTAGCATTCATCTCCAAATCCCAATTAGATTTATCAAAAAAACAGTAGAAAAAAAGTGAAAATTAATGGCCCCAAGAACAGGCAGAGGAAAGGGAAATAAAACCAAGATAGAGAAGAAGAAAAAGGAAGAAAAAGGTAAGAAAATGACCCAAAAATTCAAGTTACTGAATATTCTTGGTTCCCTTTTTATTGATTCGTTTTTGTCAATTTTGTTCTTGTTCTGCAGTTGTACCTTTTGTTCTTGATATATCTGTCATCACCCCATATGAAACTCAAGTAATTCTCAAGGTATCGATGGACTGGATTTTAGTTTCTTTTATTGTCTCGAGAAAGTCTAAGTTTATGTGTTATTTGAATCTAATTTTGTTGCTTGATTAAGGGCATTTCGACTGATAAAATACTGGATGTGAAGAAGCTGGTAGCTATTAATGTGGAAACATGCCATCTTACAAACTATTCTCTTTCTCACGAGGTAAGCACTCACACACAATCCCACATCAGTGCGTTTTTTTCCTCTCTCTCTCACTGTGCAATTAAATCATGTTTGGCACCACTGCTCATGAATTATGTGTTGTGGCCCCATTAAACAAGACTTTAGTTCCTTCTAATGCTTTTCAATTTGACTTACCAAACGAACAATCGCGGCAGGTTAGAGGACACAAAGCACTCACGCACAAACCCATATGGGTGTCTATGTTTTTTTTTGTCTAGTTGTAATTAAACCATGTTCGGCACCGAATCTTCGTGAGTCGTGAGTCAGGACCTCACCAAAAAGGTTTTCAGCTCTTTTAATATTGTTCCGTTCAACTTACCAAACGAGCCATTAATGTGCAGGCTCGAGGACCTAAATTGAATGACAAGTTGGAGGTTGTTAATCTAAAGCCGTGTTTGCTGAGAATGGTTGAAGGTAGGTTAATTCCCACACCCAATTATGCGTACAACTCTTTGTGAGATGTGTTGGTGACTGTTAATGCTCCTAATGTCTGTCTACAAGGTACAACCCCTCGTGAGCTGCGTGGGGGACTGCTGATTATTAATTAATTATTAAATCTGTTTTTAGAAAGTATTTATTTGGGTGTCTAAAAGCAGCTGTCCAATGTCAGATTTTTAATTCAATATATATAGCCCCTGTTTGTTACATATTTAAAAATTAGATTTTTAGTAGATTCTGATAAAAATTGATGTAACGTGTGGTTAAAATTAATTGTCGACTTTAACTTGAAATTTTAATTCAAACCAAACAGGGGCCTAATTGGGAATATCTATATAAAATATTATTATATTCATTATTTTCTTCTGAAATAGACCCAACTTATTTTTTTTGACTAACTACAATTTACTTCTTTTACATTAATATAATTGTTTGGTGAAAAGGTATCTCTACCTAGTAATTATTGGGGGTAGGTGAGAGAATATGCTGCACGAGACGGTTAAATTTATTTTAAGTAAATTTTATTTAATTTCCTTGTTTCTGAATAAGAAGTTATTTATTATAAAGTTATTTGTAAATAAATTATTTAAGGTTAGTCAATCATGGAAGTAATATTAGCGTAGAGGTGTAATAGATTCTTCTTTTGTCTCTTTTATTAAGTGGGCCCATGGGGTTTAACATTATTAAAATGTTATTAATGTGGCATGACCAATTTGATTTGAAAAATTGTGACGATAAAGTTTCATGAGTATCACGTGAAAAGTGCAAATGTAACGGGATGTGTAGTCATCATAATCGCATCTCACGTTAAAGATTTTCATTTTCAATTGTACTTTCTATCACTTTCGTTTTTAAGAAAATAATGCTATAGTATGAGAAAAAAATAAAATAAAAATAAAAAATGTTCGCATCTCGTTTGATCCTCACTTTTTTCAAAATATATTTTTCGCTTTTTTTTTTTTCAATCACTCATTATTCAGTAAAATAATATTACATGCAAATTCAAAAATTTTCCTTATTTTTTTTTTATCACATATTCTCCATTAATTTACTATTTAAAAATGCATTCTACATTAAAAATGACGCTGAAACATGCCCTTAATTGCCGAGGCCATAACCTCTTAAATTTTTTTTTAAGTCACATGTTTTAATAAGTACTTCACCCATGATTTTAAATATACCTTTTTATGATTATGTTGTCTTCTAGCGAGCATTATTTTCTAATAATATTTTTTTTTCAAACTCATTTTCAATCACATATTCTTTTAATAAAATAATATTACATGTAACAATCATATTTTGCAACATCACATTCATTAATTTTAAAAACTATTTTTAGAATTAATGGTCCAGATTTTGACGACATCAATGTTGTCATTTATCATTGTCAACCACAAGTGTAAAAATAGATTAATTCATTCCAAAATCTGTTTTTTACAAATAATGTGCCCATAATTCAAAATCTCTTAAAAATAATCTTTATTTTTTTCGAGAAAATCAAATTTTCCCTCTCGACTTTTCTGCAAATCTTAGGTCAAATACTGTGATTAGCTTTAATGACGAACCATATAAATGGCACGGAACAAAAAACGTGCCGTAAAGTTCAAACTATTGTTTTGCCATAATATTCCTTACTATTTACTCAAATGCCACTGGTGCTACAGAGGACTACACGGAGTCCCAGGCTATTGCGCACGTGAGGAGGCTCCTCGACATCATCGCGTGCACGACACGCTTCGCCAAGCCGAAAGGCGGACGCGGCTCCCCCTCTGCTGGAACCGATTCGTCCCAGAAGAAGAATAAAACTGGACAGAGAAAAGCCGCGGGAGCAGTCCCCGATGGAGAACCACAGTCGCCGGAGAATTCTCCGCCGCCGATTTCGGAGAGTTATGATATGGTGGCGATTCATCCCATTCCCAAACTGTCCGATTTCTACGAATTCTTCTCTTTCTCTCACATCTCTTCGCCGATTTCGCGTGAGTTCATTTTCGCGATCTCATGTCATTTTCAAAATATTGTATTTCATATTTTAGTTTTTGATTATTTGCAATTCGTACTGCAGATTTGAAAAGAATAGAAACTAAAGACGGAGAAATGCGGAATGGTGATTATTTCCAAATGCAGGTTATTTTTTCAAAATTCTCTTGTTATTTTTCGTCAATTGATTCTAAGAAAACCTTATTTTGATTATAAGGTGATCTTCTCATTCTTCATATTTGAAAAACAAAATAATTTATTTATGTGTTAACTTATAAGTAAATTTTTCAAGCTTAAACAAAAATGCACATAATAAGTTGTACTATATTTCTAAACTTCGATATTGTGTTGTGTGTAGATAAAGCTATGCAATGGGAAGACAATACAAGTGATGGCATCAAAGAAAGGGTTCTACACTTTGGGAAAACAATTTTTGCAAAGCCATTCCTTGGTCGATCTTCTTCAACAGCAAAGCCAATCTTTCGCCAACGTGAGTTTGTGATATAATTAATCATTCCTCTACTAGATCTCACTTTTTTTTGCATTTTGTATTATCCTTTTACTTTATGTATTAATTAATACTCAGCTATTGCTAGAAAAATTAAATGAAGTTAATATGGTTTGTATTTGTTTCCTAGGGAGGTCCAAACTATATAACAGAAAAAATATATTCATCATTTGCTATTGTAATTTGTACCATGATATTATCCTTCTTTATCTGAATGGGCATAATGAAGTTACATAACTATATACCTATTTAGATTGTAATAACTTCTAAACAAATTGTGCCACCTTGGTAATACATTTGTAACGTTGCTACGAAATGGTTAAGGCATTAGCACATTGTCCAAATAATTAAAGCAGTTTCGTGCTCTTATTCAACACTTCCTTGATTTGGGACAATTAATACGATGTTTTTGTGCAGGCATATGCTTCTTTAATTAAAGCTTTTGTTGAACACAATAAGGTGACGTTTGTGTAACTAAAGAAACTTCTTTTCAAGTTTTGGTAATACTGAAAGTAGAAATGACCAAATTCTTGCCATGTCGTTCTTTTCAGTTTGGCAACCTTCCATATGGTTTCCGATCCAATACCTGGCTAGTCCCTCCATCTGTTGCGGATTCAGCATCAGATTTTGTTCCCCTGCCCACAGAGGATGAGAACTGGGGTGGCAATGGTGGAGGCCAGGGAAGAAATGGAGAGCATGATCTTAGGCCATGGGCAACAGATTTTGCAATATTGGCTAACCTACCTTGCACGACGGAAGAAGAGAGGGTGGTTCGAGATAGAAAGGCCTTTTTGCTTCATAATCTTTTTGTCGACGTCTCGGTGTTTAAAGCTGTTTCATCCATACAGAGGGTGATAAATTCCTCAGCAATGGGTACATTAAATTCTTCTCCAGGATCAATCGTGCATGAGGATCGGATTGGAGACCTCTCTATTACAGTGAAAAGAGATGCTATTGATGCAAGCTTCAAAAAGGAAGTTAAAATTATTGGCAGTAAAAGCGTTAATGAATCTGCCAAGGAGGTTACTCAGAGAAATCTACTTAAAGGAATAACTGCCGATGAAAGTGTTATTGTACATGTAAGTAACATTTACCTCCAACTTCACTGCTCCTACTACTGAGTTTCTTTGTGAATAAATTTTCTGGATTTATTATTATATAATTCTCATCTCTTCATACTTAGTTTCCTTTTTCAATCACATCACAAACATAACTTTACCTAGATTGCATAGTAGTCGCGCTCTTTTTAGTAATTTTGCAAAATATTTACCAACATAATCTTGTGTTTTGTGACATCCATTGAGAGCACCCTTTGTTTTAGATATTCTCTTTGAACATAGGCTATCGACTGATTAAATCTAAAAATATTGGGCTAGGAACTCCAATGATGGTATTTCTATTTCCCCTGCTATATAAACTCTGAATAAATTCTGTCAAAATATTCATTTATTCACTCTCTCTTCTCTGGCTTGAATTTCTTTCTTATCTGGAGACTAGAAACAATGTTCCTTTTTTGTTGCAGGATACTTCTTCCTTAAGTAGTGTTCTTGTTAGACATGGTGGGTACACTGCAGTAGTGAAGGTTGTTGGAGATGTTAAAAGGGGAAAGAGCCTTGCACAAGATGTTGAAATCGAGGACCAACCAGATGGAGGGGCCAATGCACTCAACATTAACAGGTTTATTACTTCATTTTCTCTTATGTAAAAGGGTCTCATATTTCATTTATAGAATTCAATAGTTTCGAAGTTTCAGTTGTTTGTATGACTGGTGATACTGAGTCATGAAGAATTTTTTGCTCTACTTACCCATATCACATATAAAGGAAATGGAAAACATTTGCAATAATAAATTCTAATTTTTAATTAATTTTTTCAGTGATGGCAAAAAGTTAAACAAGTGGAAATACACAATTGGGATCAGAATGCATGTTAGATTCATCCATGTCACTTGGAGCAAGTTTTTAATGTTACCATTGTAGTATGTTGGTTCTCTTTGTAGAAAATAGCTTCCTTTCTGCTTAGCTCTATTCTGCAATGTCTTTTGACATAATTTGACATTTTAACAAATCATTTCTGAAGAACCGAAGCTACATCCTTAACCATATGTGATAATTTTATGACAACTCAATAGCATAATGAAGCTATGATACACCAACTGTATGGTTGGAATTCCTTGTGATTTTGGAAAATGCTTGGTATAAATCTGTTGGTCAATTTTTCATGCATTAAAATCATTGGGGATGTTTTACAGCTTAAGATTAATGCTCCATGAGCCATGTGCTAAACTATCTGGGGGAGATCAATCTCTTCAGTCTGATTTGAGGGATGTTGAAACTTCAAGATGTCTGGTCCAGAAACTATTAGAAGATAGTCTGAGAAAGCTGGAAAACTGTGATGCTGTGGCTGAAGATTGTATCAGATGGGAACTTGGTTCTTGTTGGGTGCAGCACCTACAAAAGCTGGAATCACCTGCAGATAACAATTCTGGAGGTCGTAATGACGATAACGAGGCTGAACCAGCTGTTAAAGGACTCGGGAAACAATTTAAAATGCTGAAGAAGAGGGAAAAGAAACCGACTTCTGCTACTGGGAAGGATGAAGAAAATGATATTGGAGTCAGCAACCTAAAGATGGAAAGCAAGCCGGCTGAACTAAAGAACTGCGAGTCTAATTGTGAAGCAGAGTTGCTGAAATATGTTCCTCAAGAAGCTTTCTTACGTTTGAAAGAAACTGGAATTGGACTTCATACAAAGGTTTTATATCTTATATTCTGGCACTAATTATATAACTTGTCATGCTATTTCTTTTAAGATGAAAATATCTCCTACTATTCAATGGGTTTCTCTCACTTCCACCCCAGCCCCATTTGCCTGTTACGTTTTGGTGGGATGTAGGAAGGGATAGAGATGAGGAGCCAAAATAGACTCACTTTAAATTTTCATCTATTTGAGCTGAATCCTGCTAGTGCTTTTATTTCTTTTCTCAATGTTTTTAAGTTAAGGATACTTCCATAACACTTGTCCTAATAACTCTCTGCTTCAATGTGCAGTCTCTGGATGAGCTGGTCAAGATGTTGCACGAGTACTATAATGAAGTTTCTCTGCCTAAGCTGGTAACATTTTGATAGTGACTCAAAGACGTTACTGTGGAAGTGCTAATATTGTTTTTGGCCAAGATGTCAATTTAATCAAATATGTTTTTATAGGTGACAGACTTTGCATCACTTGAACTTTCTCCAGTTGATGGACGTACGCTAACTGACTTCATGCATCTTAGAGGATTACAAATGCGTTCTTTAGGCCGCGTGGTGGGCAATTAATTTAATGCACTCTCTCCAGCCCACCCCTACCTCCCTACAATTTTCTTCTTTAAGTTGGATTTAATGAAATTGCATGAACCAGGTTGAACTTGCAGAGAAACTTCCTCATATACAGTCTCTTTGTATTCATGAGATGGTTACTCGAGCTTTTAAGCATGTCCTTAGAGCTGTTATTGCTTCTGTTGAGAGCATTGATAACATGTCAGCTGCAATAGCCTCAACCTTAAATTTCTTGCTTGGGTCATGGGATATCAAAGATAAAGACCAAAGTGATCAAATTCTCAAATTTAAATGGATGGGAGCATTTTTGGAGAACAGATTTGGTTGGAAATTGAAAGATGAATTCCAACATTTGAGAAGGTTGTCGATTCTCAGGGGAATTTGTCATAAGGTATTTGCTGAAACAATTGCATTATTGAGTCCAAGTTAAATTGAAAGAAAGTATAAACTTTCTTCCCTTTCAGGTTGGATTGGAGTTGGTTCCTAAAGACTACGATATGGAAAGCTCTACACCGTTCGAGAAATCTGATATTATTAGCATAGTGCCGATGTGTAAGGTAAGTTTACCCCTCTTAATCTCACTTACTGGCATTCTAATACATGCAAAGATTTGCACTGAAATTAGTGTTTTATATGAACAATCCACTAAGTGATGTTTTCTGTCTTTTGCTTTATAATATACAGCATGTAGGGTGCTCTTCTGCTGACGGGCGAACTTTACTGGAGTCATCCAAGATTGCACTGGACAAGGGGAAGCTAGAAGATGCTGTAAACTATGGGACAAAGGTAACCAAATCTTCCATCATCTATAAATGAGGTATATAGTGTTCATATTTGGACAGTGTTGAATTTCATGTATGACTTGAAACTGAAGGCTCTGGCGAAGCTGATAGCTGTCTGTGGTCCTTATCATCGTACAACAGCAAGTGCTTATAGTCTTCTAGCTGTTGTTCTATACCATACTGGAGATTTTAATCAGGTATGACATAAGTTTGTCAGTTTCAGGTTGATTTACTTCTACCAATTACATTTCTTTTTTAAGTAAATGAACATTTAAAGGAGAGAGAACATTGTGAGATCCGGACTTCATCTGTACTTGACTTGCACAAATGTGAGACTAGGAAAGTTGAGTGTGTCTGAATTGTCCTTTACTTTCTTGTTTAGGCTACTATATATCAGCAAAAGGCATTAGATATCAATGAGAGGGAGCTGGGGCTTGACCATCCAGACACCATGAAAAGCTATGGAGATCTATCAGTTTTCTACTATCGCCTGCAACACATTGAATTGGCACTTAAGTAAGTTAAACACTATCCATTATTTTAAAATGTCAACAGCCAGTATGCTTTGTTTTCAATTATTGTTTTCCTTGATCTTGAAGATTTCAAAACATAATATGATGTTCAAAACTCAAAGGACATTTAGGTTTTTGAGGGGAATTTGTCGTTCACTTTATTCTGCCTCTTTTAGTTTAGATTTCTCTTCCAATTTTAGATTTATTTTCAATTTCTTCAAATTTCTATTCTCTCATCTACTTCCAGCTTTGCTACATATTCATTCCTTATGACTATTTTTTTTCCTCTTTCTTAATCATGTTCGTTTATTACCTTGGGCAGATATGTCAACCGTGCTCTCTATCTTCTTCATTTTACATGTGGTCTCTCTCATCCGAACACCGCTGCTACATACATAAATGTGGCTATGATGGAAGAGGGCATGGGAAATGTTCATGTCGCACTTAGATATCTGCATGAAGCTCTGAAGTGCAACCAGAGATTATTGGGAGCAGATCACATACAGGTTATTCCCCATCCTCTCTCTATCTAAAAATACACATACACATATGTACTATTATCTTGAATACAGAAGTAAGTCATGACAAGGAATCAACATTCTAAATGAGTGTGAAAATATGCTTGTGGTTACTGAATATTCCTAGAACCTACTGTTATAATTTAGTTGCTCTATCCAACAGACTGCTGCTAGCTATCACGCAATAGCCATAGCTCTTTCATTAATGGAAGCATATTCCCTCAGTGTGCAACATGAACAAACTACATTACAAATTCTTCAAGATAAACTGGGAGCAGAGGATCTTCGTACTCAGGTAATTACAAAATTCTCTCTCATGGTTTGCCAACTGTAAATTTCTATAACCATCAGGCTACACTTGTACTCTGGTTTTTCTGCTTTGAGCTATGTCTTGTTCATGTAGTGGAAGGAGAAGATAAAGAGTTTTCTCAAGGAAAGTATACCTTTTGATACCTTATTTGATACGAGAAAGATAGGGAAGGGAAAGAACGAGGCTTATATTACTGAAAGATAACAGAGTTATTTAACTAGTAACTCGTCTTCACAGACTTCATGTCAAAGATATTTACGCTCACTAATATAATTTTCCATCAGTCACTTATGCCCGTTATTATGGGAAGGAGCATCTTCAAATACATAAATGTACTAGTTTTGACTCACAAATAGATGCATATCAATGGGTAATTAATTTCAAAGAATGTTATAGAAGGGAAACTGATATACCATATACTTGCAGGATGCTGCTGCATGGCTTGAATATTTTGAATCAAAAGCCTTGGAGCAGCAAGAAGCAGCACGTAATGGAACTCCAAAACCGGATGCATCCATTGCCAGCAAAGGTCACCTGAGGTATTGATACGGTATTCCCGTATTGCTTGGTTTTGAATATTATACATATCCTGGCAAACCAAAACCTTTTAACCTTCTGGTGCAGTGTATCAGATCTCCTTGATTACATAAGTCCTGATCAGCAGTCAAAGGATGCAGACTCTCGGAGGAGACGACGCGCAAAGGTATTGAGTTCACAAAAAGCAATAAAGAATTGAACTCTTTTTATGGATAGTTTTAAATATTTTCTTTTCCAACTACAAGGTGCACAATATGGACATCTTTCTATTTACGTAATATCTTTTTACTGAACACCTGGCTCTTTTTCCACGATGTGCATAACTTTTAATCCTGATCCAAAAATTAGTTTCTAAATCCTTAATCATGTTAGATTGATGCAAAAAGAGACATATTTCACGTTCAGCTATGATAGTAGTCTGTCAGATCCTATGCTAAGCCCTAGGCTGGGATTCGAGGTCTCAGATGAATTAATTCTACTTCCTATGCTGCACATTTACACTACCCTTTTGCATTGATCTATAGGTCTTCCCAGTTGGTGATAAATCCCATGAACTGCAGCATGAGGAAAGAACTGAAATCACCATGAGCAATGAAAGTTTGGAAATCCAGGCGATCATAAAGAGTGACAGTGCTGATGATAAGACAGACGCAAACTCCTCTGAAGGATCCTTCAAGGCCTCTGAAATTTCTACCTACAATCGTGAAGAAACTGTGCAAGAAACAAACTCTGATAGAGGGTGGCAGGAAGCTAATTCGAAAGGACGATCAGGGAATGGTGCTGGCAGAAAGTTCAACAGAAGACGTCCGGATCTTGCCAAGTTAAAGATAAATCCTGAGTACTCAAATTATAGAGACAACAGTTATAGAAAGGAGGCTGTGTCACTGGGACATAAAGCAACATTTAAGTCAGTTTCAGCTGAAGTATCTCCCCCGAGGCAACCTAAGACTGTTAATTCAAGTAATGATGAAAATTCAAGTAAATTGCCTGCAAAGATTTCAATGATGAAAACTATGCCAGTGTCTAAAAATTCCTCTGTTCCTGCGACTCTCACAGCGTTAGCTTCTAAATCACTATCATACAAAGAAGTTGCAGTCGCTGCCCCAGGTACGGTTCTAAAGCCCTTACTGGAGAAAGTAGAAGAATTAAGTGAAGAAAAAACTGATACCCAGATCTGCATTAGTCTACAAGAGGCAGGAGAGCAAGATGGAAGGGAAAAGGTTGCTGTAGACGACTCACTACCAGATTGTGAAGACCCAAATGGAGACAATGAAGGTGAAGTTCATGATGGTGGATCCAAGTTGGAAAACTCCTTCCCAAATGGTGAAGATATTTCATGCTCAAGCAACCAGGAAAGATCTATAGAAACAAACGGAAGCAAACTTTCTGCTTCTGCTCAACCATTCAATCCAGTTGCCTACTCGTTGACTCATCCATTAAACAACACTGCTGTCAATAGTGTCTATGATGTAGTAGCCAGCCAAGGCACACTTACAGATCCCGTGGGATTTCCATCAGTTTCTGCCAGAGTTCCTTGTGGTCCTAGATCACCTATGTATTATAGACGTGCCTTTTTGAATTACCAAACCCCCATTTCGGAAAGAAGTGGTTTTCTTTATCCAAAAACAATGAATCCACATGCGCCCGAATTTGTTCCTAGAAGAGCGTGCCAAATGAATGCAGCTACTGAAAGTTCAAAATCTGCTGTGGATCCTAATTGCTCGGATCCTGTAGGATCTTCTGGAGAGAAGCCCAGTCAGAAAGTTAAAACTGATGTTAAAGGTGAAAGATCTAAGAAAAACAGTTCTGATGCGGAGAAGGCAGAGTTAGCCAGGCAGATACTGCTTAGTTTCATAATGAAATCAGTGCAGAATTCTTCAGATCTTCCAAGTGTGTCTCCAGTCACTGACAAGAAACCTGAATTTCCAAGTAATTCTGCTGAAGCAATTGTAAACGATAGTGCAATTATAAAGATTTTTTATGGGAAGGATGAAAAAACAGAATCAGTAACAGAGAAGAACAACAATGAAACACAAAAAGGGGTAGATGTAAATCAGAGTAAGAATAGAGATGGAGAAGGTTTTGTGCTCGTCACAAAGCGGAGAAGAAACCGTCAGCAACTATCAAATGGTTTGTACCGTCAACAATCAATCTCTGCTTCAGTGCATTGAAGAGAGGAGTCTTGAGAATATGTTATGGGAGAGCAATTTCATTCTTCTCCAGCTACAAGAATTTCAGAGATTTCTTCAAATTCGAATTTGAAGCTGTAGAAATCTTCAGAAGACAATTTAGTAGGGCCTGTACAATAATTACTTGTGGTTTAATTACTAAAGAAGTCCGCTGGAATGAATGTTTATCAAATATTGAGGTTGGTGGATTTCTCACCTTGAAATTTTGATTAATTGATCTACATATTCCTTAATTCTTTCACCCTTCTCCCTTCAATTTTACTGCTGTCGATGAGGTTTCCTTTATTGCTCTAATTTGATAGAGATACATCAGATTCACTTCTATTTTTATGACTATGAAATGAATTCATCTTACTTGTTCACTATACACTTTGTGCAAATATTATTTGTGCATAATTGTGTAAAGATTGATTTACATATTGATGATGTGGGACAGAGAAAAAAGAGACAGAATGAAGTGAAATCAATTAATATTATCCACATCATCAATTTGTACACTATTATGTACAAGTAGCATTACTCGTACACTTTTCCTTGATATAGTTTTGTTGCTGTAATTTGTAACTGGACAAAATAGAGGAGAAAATTTACTCAAATATTTAGATTAAAAACAATGTTGACGAACCAACAAATAACACCACTTCACTTTGGTTATTGAACTTTTTTGTTGGGTTCCAAAGTTGTTGATTTTATATCCCGTAAGTGTAGAATTGTGACAAGTAATAAAATGAATTTAAGAGTTCGAACTATTCCGAACTTCACTCCGATTAAAAATAATTAACCACGATTCTTTTCTTTTTGTGAGTTTTTATATACTAAAAATTAACATGTGCGCAAGTGAATTTTTTGTATAATGGTTTAAGCGTTAGGATTCACAATTCCACCATAGATATCCTCTTAATCTCAATAACCATAACAATTAATTATGCCTCTGTTTGGGCTTCATTTTATTATAATGCATTTTCTCTCTTTTTTATCACATTCTCTGATAAAATAATATTACACGTAAATTCAAATCTTTTTATTCTTTTTTAAACACACATTTTTCAAAAAAATACACTATTCCAAAATACATTTTCCTTAAAATTTAATTTTAACGGAGCCCAAACAACATTTACGTGTACTAGATCGAATTCTTCTAAATTAATTGATTTACCTCTCTTGACTTCAAATCAATCTTACCCAATTAAGTCAACCCATTATATCTCTATATGAATCCGAATAAATCTTAATCAAGAGTATTCAATCTCCAAAAAATTTACCTAATGATCGTGACAACCATAAAAGTGTATCTATATCCTTTTATTCAATTTGCAGGCTTTTACTGCGTGGTATAAACAAATAACTCACATTTCGACATAATTATCGCTCACAAATCAATGAATTAATGATTAGGTAGTTCAAAACATTAAGAATTGATGTAAAAAAAATTACGGTTGTGATATATGTACATAATAAGTTTACATACATATGATGTTGTGAGATACGATTGAAATTAGAATTTCTTCAACCAAATAATAAAAAAAAATTCCCCCTCTTTTTGACACTTTATCTGTATATGAACCATTTTATAACTGCTTATGTACAAGTAGGATTATTCAAAAAATTTAATACAAAAGTGGAGAGGTACATCAGGCCTTACCTCCAAGATTACATGCGGGATATGTGTATTGTGGCTTGTCTTGGCTATTCTATTCATTCTCCTTTTTACAACTGAACAATTTTTTATCTATAAATCAAGTACGTTTACATCTTTTCCCAACGTAAGGAAATTCTAAACTGTCTAGCTTTAAGATTCCTGTAATGGTTCCTTTCAGTTGCACCTATTATAGTAGCCTTTGTTCTATTTCTTTACATCTAATATCGGCTAACCAATCTGCTGCAGCATTCTCCTCTTTCCAAATGTGTGTGAAATTTACCTTCATTTTCTTCGTCCGGTTGATTTCCTCTGTCCTTGAATTCCATGGACCTTTTGCTTGCTTTTTAATGAAATGTATGGATGTTAAAGAATCTACTTCTGCCCCAACTTTTATAAAATCCATACTGCATACACATCTTTGTCCAGTATTAAAGCTTTTACTTCTGCCTCAAGGAAACTGTATTCATCATGAGTAATCATGACAAAGCCCTGACAATCCCTTGCTAGCCCACCGAGTAATGCTATTCATCCTCACTGGGGTTGAGCCTCAATCTATGTGACAATTATATGGCATTAAATGATAGATTCATTTAAATACAAAGTCACATGACTCATTTAATTGAGTTTGTTATTTAATATTATGTAATTGTCATATAGATTTGGACTCAACTCAATACCATAGCATATCTCTTAGAATAATGCTATTCATCTTCACTGGAGTTGGGTCTCAGTTTATGTAGCAATTACATAATATTAAATGATAGATTCATTTAACTACAAAGTCACATGACTCATTTAATTGAGTCTATTATTTAATGTCATATAATTGTCACATAAACTGGGGTTCAACCCCAATGGGGATGAATAACATTATTCCTAGCCCAACTCCTGCTGCTTGAAGCATCCATCGGAAGCACTAGCTAATGAAGAAAATATTTTTATTATTGGCGGGTTTTTGTACTTGATCTTTCTCGAGTAAATGTATGTGACGTTCTTCTCTCCAAATCACTCTTTCTTCCTTCATTTTAACTCCGTTGTGCTTGTTGTTATTTCGTTCATTCCAAACCGTATGTACCAGAAGAGGAAGAGAGGTACAATTTTCTCTATTTGACCTGCCTTAGGGGAATGACCAGCACATCTCCAAAATTGGAAAGCCATCTTAGGTTCAGTATATGGAGGAAATGTTGTTTATTGTTCAAAATTGAATTGAGAAGAAGAAGAGAGAATTT